ACCTTTACCAAAAAATTATTCAGATGTGGAATTGGGGCAGAAATTTTTCTAGTGACAGTCACAGGAAAGAACAAATGCTTTTTCTCTCCACAAAGATCCTCCAAAACACCTGTGCTTATACAGTCATATTGAGCTCACCAAGACTACTCATGCTGGTCAAATTACTTTTGTAGCTAGAATAGTACTGGAGCTGCCCTTCTTTAAACAAGAACTTCATATTGGCACTGGAGATAATTTGCTTCTTGTACTACTGTTATCCCACTTAAATTAATGCAGCTATTCCAACATAAAGTGACACCAGTGAATCGGATCTAGCATGTCTTACTCTGTGACTGGTTGGAAACATAGTCTTTTCTGAGTTGCTTTCTGACTTTCCTTCTTTTTCTGCCACCGAAGGCAAAGAAGGAAAAAATGGCAGCCTTTTCCAAGAGTTAGGAAATACATTTTGATTAACAAGCTGTAAATAAGCAGTAAATATCACTATGATTACATAAAGTAGTTAGTTCATTTTGATATACACATACATTATACTAATTACCCAAATGCACATTTTAATGGAAGAGCTGTAATGCTTGAGTATATTTGGAATGCCAGATAACTCAAAAACATCCTTCAAACTATGTATAAAGCAACAAAAGCATCTGCACCCAGTTTACATGTGACATGCGTGTAGGTCTGCGCATGACTTTTACTGTGTGCAGACATGCGCTTGTTCCCCTGTTCCCAGTAGTGCATATCCCATGCAAAAATTTGGAAACGTAGCCCAGCACGTCTGTTTAAGTTGTCTGAATAAAACATAAAAGCTGTAAAACTTAGAGAGGTACAAATATTATGTTAGGCCTTTGTGGACATTTTCTTGCATGTAAATATGGCTATTGAAGGGTTCTAAAGGTAATTGTCTTGATGTCATTTAGATATCTGTATTAAATGAAGATCTAGCCTGTAGTAACCAGAGCTCCATTTCAGCAGTCTGCTTTTCACTTCTAAAAGCAGTTAGTAGGCTCAAGGCAACATATTATTACACTGCTGTCCTACATCTCCTTTTCTGCCTTCGTACAAGGTAGCTGCACACTGCTGCATGTAACTTCCACCACTTGGTGGTGGTTGTACCACTGCCCTCAACTGGAGGATGATGCGGCTGGTCTGCTCCCATGGGAATAAGTGCATTATCCCACTGATGGCTGGCCTTCGAAGGTCTACTCTCACTGAGGGAAGTTATGCTTAGTTCAAGCAGCAGAGGCCTGCACTCTTGGAACAGAAAGCTTTCTGAAGTCTACATGGCCACAATAGAGCTGACAAACATGTTTCACATGTGGTTATGGAAACTTTACAATCCGCTTTCCAGTGAATATTTGCCACATAGCAGAAGCAAATGCTGAATATATATAATAAAAAAAAAAAAAAGGAAGTTCTAGGGTGGTGAAGAATCCCAAGGATGAACAAGTTTCCCAACCTTATCTAAAATTTAAAGCATAAAAAGTGTCAAGTGCTAAAGTAATTAAAAATCAAGGACCTTTAGATTTCAAACAGATTTCTCTCACTATCCTCCCAATTGTTCACACAATGAAAATTCACTACATGAAATCAGTCATTCGTGCAAACAATATTAACGTTTTGAGGCACCAGCTTATCAGCATTCAAAGTATTATAAAGTAATATAATGATAGGACCCATACACTTGGATTTAGTTAAGAAAGAAAATAAATAGTTATGTCAAACTTTTTTGATTGCACATTTGGTATTGGAAGTTACATGGTCACAGAACATGAAAGAAGTCAAATACTTTTTGATCTACTAGCAAACTCTAAATACATCGATAAAGAAGCCACACCAGGCCAAATAGATTACTACTTTCAAGTAAGTTCATGAAAGTTTCCCAAATACTGTTATACAAAGTTACACATCCATGCTGAGTTATTCATCAATGTGTAGCAAGAGTCTTGCAGTAGGCCAGGATTTTATTGGCAGATAACTGGTGGAGGAGCTATGCAGTGTGATTAAAAATTCCAGTTTGGAAGCATTAACATAGAAGTCTGAACAGGAGACTGCAGTTCTTGAAGTTAGGAAGAGCAGAAGGGAAGATTGGGAATATTTTCCATTTTAGAAATGCTGAGGCACAAAACACAGTTGATTCTAGTACTTTCATACATGAAATCCTTTCTCCTGTATGTGCATCATGTGTAACCGCAAAGTCTGTAAACTGCTGACTATTCGTCTCTGGTGTCCAATGAGTACAACTCCGATTCTTCTAATGTCACTGCAAGATAAAAAGTTTCATCTTGGATGCAAGTATAGTAAAGTCTCTTGTACACAAAAAAGTATAAATATATGATGAATTGCTCTTCTTCAGGACAGTTTACCTTCCTGTCTGGGACACGTAAGAAAGCTGCAAATGCTCAATTCCAAATTTTATAAAGACAGGAGTTTAAGGGGAAAAAAAAAAAAATTTTGTAGTTAGAGCACTGGTATCTTTTGTTATACTAATGGCCAAGTAATTTTTGCAAATCTTGAGGAAGAACCAGAGAGGTGGGATCTAACAGCCCACTTTTAGTAACGAGTTATTAACAAATGTTTCCCACTCATACTTGCAAAGGAATAGGGCTGATATACTCACTCTTGCAGTTCTGAAGTGGCAATAACAGAGGCTGTGCTTCTGATGATTTGGGAATCAGAAACACTAACCCTAACAGTGAGAGATGTTCTAAAAGATCAGAATAGCAGTGAATCTTCCAGCTTGACCCAGGTTTCCCTCCCACTGTCCCTTCATCTCATCTAGACCTGTACCCTGGAGTGGGTAGCTCACCCTTTGAGCTTGACTCTTTGGCAGGAATGAAGTCAGCAGCCCTCAGCATCCAGCACAAACCACTAGTTTGGTTATTTTCTAAACATCACCAGCTGCAAGATGCTGAGAAAGATCACAAAGGTGGCAAGGGCAGGAAACTTCAGATATGCCTTGTCAATTGTGCAGATCCCACACTGGGACATTGCATAGACATTGCCTGTATAGATATCCTCAAAAATTGTTTGACATTATAGCTAGGAAAGGAGCTTACAGGATGAGGCATGACCTTTATGGGTTTCAGATTTGCAGTTCAAGATACCTGCCTCTGTATCCTCCAGATAAAGAGCCACTGGATAGCAGCAACTATTATGTACTTAGGCTTAACATCCACGTGGTGGATGACACACAACACCTAGGGTCAGCAGGGAACATGCAAAAATATTGAGCATCTTAGAATCTAAAGAGAGTCAGACAAGAGAATAAAACTTTACAGAGGGAGTGGTATTAGAAATGCAAGTACAATGCCTAGTACTTATCAAGGAAGGTCTGATAAAGTTCAGAAAGAAGCTAGCAGGCCTAGGGTAATGGAGGTTATTTGAAGAAGGAAGAAATCTTTCAAAAAGCTGAAGTGGTATCTAAAGAAAGTAGAAAGGATGATAACCTCAGAGAGATTATCTGTAAAAGCACAGTAAGGCAGGCTAAAAAAGAACTAGAGGAAGAAGAAGAAAAAAAACACCTAATAATAAAACTCATGATAAACCTTTTGGCAAACTCACAGGGTACAAGCAGCCTGTCTGTAGAGTCTAATGATGGGTATAAAAGAGGACTGAAAGACTGGCCACTCTTGGAAGAATACTGTATTTAGCCAACAGTTTTACAAGAGCTTAAGGATGAAATAGTGGAATTAGTAGCAGGGATGTGAGAAGGAGTTATCAGCTGTGTTCCACATGCCTGAAAACTTCTTAGTGCCTGAGGCATGGAGAGTGGTGCCAGGGAAAAGAAAATGTTTCCAGGGGAGATCTGGGGAACCACAGACTTGTGAGTCTGAAATCATTACAGGGCATAATAGAAACTACAGTAAAGTACAGAATTATTGGATGCTTGGATAAATTATCTACTTGAGTCACCATAGCTTTTGCAAAGAGAAGTCCTGTTATAGAGTTACTTGTTTTCAAATGGAGAAGTCAGCACACATATGGATGAAGGCACTTAATTTGATACACCCCACTTGGATTTCTAAAAGCTTTAGAGAAGATTCCTCATCAAAGCTTTATAAGGAAAATGAGGAGCTATGGCATAAGAAGGTCTTTGCATGACTAAATAACTGGTTTAAAGTCAGGAGGTTAGGGGTAAATTGTCAGGTTTTACAATGTAGTCATCAATAGGAACCTACAGGGACCTATACTGGGATAATGTTGAACAGTTATGTTCAACAAACCAGTAAATGGTCTGGAAGAAGTGGCAAGCATAGAGGTGAAAAAGTCAGCTGATGAGACTGAATTGTTCAGAGTAGTGAGGGAAGGGACCAGCTGTGATGAGTTTTAGAAAGATCTTACAAAACTAAGTGACAATGCCATAAAGCAGCAGATGAAATTCAATGTAGGTGAATGTAAAGAGATACACATGGGAGAAAACCAGTCATAACCTCACATGTAAAATTACTGAATCATAACTGACCATTACCAGTATTAATACAGACAGTCCGAGCATCAAATAAAAGATTAGGAATTCATGGGAAGAGAATAGAGGACAAAACAGATCATATCATAATGATATCATGTTAATCCACAGTTTGCCCAAACCCTTATATACTGAGTGCAGGGTTTTAATTTCAAAAATGATAGAATAGTGCCAGAGGTGGTTGAAGACGAGCAGCAAGGAGTGGAAAAACTTCCTCATGAGGACTGACATGGGTGTGATGATGTTCACAGCAAACTAAGAAAAGATTTTTGCCATGGATTTCAGTGGTCAAAACTGATTTCTCAAGAAACATTTCAGGATGCTCACTGCCTGGCCTTTGGTAGTATTTGGTTTGGTCACAGAATAAAACTGGGTCTCTTAGTCACAGGTTGGTAAAAACCTGTATTTGTCTGTTACTAGCTTAAGTAGGAAAGGAAATGAAAGCACTGTTCCATACATCATGGTAATTATGTCACTGCAGCATCCAAACAAATTCAGATTGATTAATCACTGTAGGGATAATAGATTAGATACTTACTCAATACTCATTCTTGAGACCATATCCAAAGTTGTGAAACCTGCTGCCATGAAGTTATTTTTATACTGACCCATTTTTATGGAGTCCAGCCAGTCACTAACTGAAACAAACAAAGGATATTCTGGAACTTCACCTGGTGAATCTGGCATTCTGTAAACACAAAATGCAAAGGTTACCAAAGCACTATAAATATGACAACTTACTTGGGTAGGCATTGTTTTTATTAAAAGGCAGAAGGAATGAGAGAAGAGCCTGAGCTGTAAAGGTCAGGTGTTAACTGAGAATCTCTTTAACCCATTGTCTATAACTGAAGAATCGTGTCAGTCTGCCAAGTTGCACTACTTAAACAATACATGTTTTTAAAGCACTGCAACTCAGTAAGAAACCGAGGAACAAAGCTCTCCCACTGCTTTTATTTTTGTTCCCACAGAGTGTTTCTTTAACAGCTCTTATATGTTCACGATTATAATAATTTGTAAATACAGTAGTCAAAGTGAAGGACAAACAAAATTTAACATGACATAAAATTTAAAAACATTAAGATACTGCAAGATGATTTTCCCATTTATCTACGAAAAACCTCACTTGAAACAGCTTCTTACTGCTACACCATTATGCAATGGGAACACTTTGGTTAAAAGCCTAAAACTAATATTAAAAGAAGCAAAAAGAATAAAATTGTTTATCTTTTGCTTTTACGTAGAGTTATATAAAGTAGCAAATAAGAATGAAGGAGCTAATTTAGTGCCATTTCTGTTTCAGTTCTTTTCCTTAATATTATTGCAACTAAAACAGAAAGATGGAGAAACCTACTAAAGTTCTCAGAAAAAATGATGCAGGTCTTCATCAAAGCACTTTCTCTAAAGGTGTATTTCAGCTAATGAAAAGGGTGATGCCACCTGGACCTTCACTGATTTCAGCTGAAATCCAGGGACAGCTTGGATCAATAAGCCTACAAAAAAATGACAAATTCTCCTACCACAGCCTTACTTCTCCTGTGGCTGCATACATTTCTGTAATGCTATTAATGGAAAAAAACTTTGGGCAACACCATCAAGAATTTGTTGTGGAATGGTAATAGCATAATCTCTTATTTGTTCACTGTTGCCATTCTTCTGCAGATAAATAAAGATTTAGCAAGCTAAGACAAGCTACTTTCTGCAGGAAATTACTCCAGGGCAGTTCAGAAATTGCTTGAGCACTGTCAGATGGAGAGACAGGCTGTTGAATAGAGGAAAAATAAAAATTACAAAGAGAAAACAAGCACAAAGGAGAAGCACCGAGAAAAACCCAAACAAACAGATTCACAAAGATTAAGGACAGAGCACACAGAGCTCAGACAAAAATAAAAAAAGAAAAACACATAATATAATCTGCATGACTTGAGAAAAAGAGTCCTTATACCACAGTGTGTTAACAAGAAAGCAAACCTTAAAAGTGGTTTTGAATTCAGAACTTTTGAATTCAGAACTTTGCGGCTCTCTCCCGCTGCTGCTTAATGCCCTGAAACATCTAATGATAGCCACTATATGTTATACAAGCAAAATAAAGTACCAAAAAGTGTCTTACACAAGTACATCTTCCACTAGGGTATGCAGGGTGCTGGGATTGCGGATCAGTTTGTCCAGGAAGTTGACAATGTCACTAAATTTTGGACGGTGGTTTCTCTCCTTTTGCCAGCAGTGAAGCATTAGTTGGTGAAGAGAAGCTGGGCAGCCCATGGGAGCTGGAAGCCTGTAGCCTTCTTCAATAGACAGTATAACCTAGAGAAATACAATGCATATGATTACTGGGCATCAGAATTAAATGCTTGAAAGGACAGTGTAAAGTTGACAATCAGAAACCAGTGATAACAATTAATGGCACAACTACCCTCACTTTCCACATTGTGTGGGCTTCACTGAGGGAATTCGGACTGGCAGGAGAGTGGCCAGAGGAGATGCAAAGTATTTTGTAGGCATATGAAACACAGTAGGCACTTTTTTTAGGCTCCCTGGCCACCCTCTTCAAACAGCCAAGAAAGGACGAGGAGAAGGAAGAACTAACCAGTATCACTATCTTTTTTATCCACTTCAGGTTTATGTGTTGGGGTCACAGGGCCACAAACTAACTTCATGTGGCCACTGCACACTGGGATGCTCTAATACTTGCATCCTGACAAAGTGTTAGTGTGTGGCAATGTCACAATACAATCAAGCACTACAAATGCACATTAAAGCACCTGGCAAATTTACATGGTGACAATATGTTTCTGGTGATCACTATGATTCGGATGTCCAAGCTGTTTATGACTAAACAACAGGTAATAAAATTATGGTGTTACCATATACACTTTAGGGTATATGGTAACTTTCAGATTCAGCAGATGTGAAAACCATGTTTGGGCAGGATGTGGAAAGAAACAGATCTGATGTTGCAGATAAATCACACATATGAAAAATCACATTTGATCAGAATTGAAGGGAGGCTTGTTTTCAGTAAAACAAAAAACATTGTCTGAAAAGGACATTAGCAGCCCTAATGTCCTAATGTGTGATAGGAGGTAGCAAAGTAGGTAAAGTCCATGATAAGCTGTCTGGATTCATTCTATGTAAGATTTAAAAAAACAAGAGGGAAGGTTACGAGGTTCTGCAAGGAGTGATAGTAGCTGTGGGGACAATGATAGAAATTGCAGTCAGGATTTCTTGCATATAAAAGAGTAAAAAGATAAGTGGTTGATCAAAAACAAAGCTAGGAAAAAGACCAACCCTACCACACACATAACCCTTCCACGTAAAAATCCAACCAATGCTAAATGTTCTCCGAAGTACAAATGATTGTACACAATATTTATAATAACACGGTGCAGTTATGAGAAACATACCTACTGCATTCATACCTACTCTGCTTTAAGGAGACATTTATCATTCTCACACAGATGTATGTACATGCTGCAGACATATTAATGCAGCTGGAAAGGGGTACATTAAACTGTTTACAGCAAATCAATGTTTTAGAGCACTAGCTGTAGCTTCAATATATTCAATGTTATTATCCCAGAATATATCCTCGTTCTCTTTTTGAATTCTGAATTAATGCTGTGGGTTCTGTTTAGCAATGCCTGATGCTTATGCTGCAAGCATTATGCAAATAAATAAGAGTAATGAAGCTACATTAGAACCTTAGATCCCCTTGATAGCATGGTAGAAAATGGAACAAGATTCTTGTAGCTGTACACAGCTGGGTCTCCGAGTTTTATCAGATGAGATGATTTGGTCCTACAGTGTATAGCCCTCTTGTACCCTGGCAGAAACACCTATTCATGAAAAACAAGTGTTTGCAATATGGCAGGGAATTAGGTTTGCATAGGGTAAGTTTTAGCCCCACAGGTAACAGCAGTGGGAAGTACAGGCTACTCCAAAGGCAGCGTTACTTGCCATCGGGATCCCTGAATTTTACGCATGTGTGAGCATTGACAGATCACATATGTGCAGACAGGCCTGGCCATGCACATACAGAGGTAATATCTAGCAGCAAATGATCTGTCAATATGATAATCCTTCCACCTGCCTGACTAGCTACTTGTTTGTCTTCCTGGGATTTACTTCAGTGGTCCAAAATCTGGACTGCCAAAATGGCTGCTATAGGAAAAAATACCATCAGATTTCCAAAGAAATGCTTCCTACAAAGCCCTGCCTGCTGATGCTGAATATGCCCCCTAGATTGGTCCTGTTACAGACTCAGGATGGGTGAAATTCAACCCTAAGTGCATGAAATTTTATTCACAAAACTGTCAAAGCTCACGTATCTCAAGCAGATTGTCAAAAGCGGCTTCATAAAACATAGGTGCTTGTTACAGTGTGGGGTATAGCCTAGTTGATACTTGTCACTGAAGAGGCAATGTGCAGCAGCCCAGAAATGCAGCTACTCTAATCTTTACACTTAACTATACGTGTCACAAATGATGAATTTATGAAATGTATTTTGGTTTTAAGGGAGAGGGAAAGCTTCTCTACTTTTATGAGACATATGGCATCTGCTCAACACAACAATAGAGAGCTGATGAGCTTTTCTAAAATAATTTATTCAGGAAAAAACCCAAAAGCAACCACAATTTTACAGACATTATATTTTCTCTGACATACTCTATTTTACCATATCTTTGAAAAAGAAGTTACAGTGCATTTGTTTCCTCTCTTGTTCAAAAGGAACATTTCAGTATGAAGAGAAATGCCAGCTGATACTGGGATAATTATAATTTCTCATTAATACCAGCACATTTTAAAAATAAACTGCAAATATTGCCTCATTAGTATCCCTTGTGAGGCAAGTATTATTTTTAGAGTCTAAGAAGCAAGAGTAAAAGTGTGCTGTCTAGTATTGCAATGGGAATACAGTCTCAAAGGAAGAATTAGAGCCTTTTAGTTCCCTATTTACTTATTTATTTTAGCTCCTGCATTGCTACTTGCATAGCACCTGTCTCTGAACAGATGAATTAGATATCCATATACCTAAAGGAAAGAAGTATTAAGTTTTACGTGGTGATATATAACTGTATAGTATATAATATGTAAAGATTCTACATGTTAACATCTTTTAAATGCCTTTTTCCTTGTCAGTTTAAGGTTGAAGAAGCACCACATTAATAGTGAAATGGTCTAATGATCTACAAAAGGGATATAGCAACAGCTCTAGCAATCGTTGTAACTCTTTCCTTATTGGCAAATCAATGTCCCATTTATTTCAACCTGAAAGAATAGGAGTATCACCTTAGGTCCAATGCAAAATGAATCCCTGAGTCTGCTAACAAAAAGGCTGGTTACTGCTCTCTAGTTCTGGTTTTGATGAACACTTGATGGGTATCAAAGGAGAAAAACATGCAAATATTCTGCGCTGACTTCAAACACCGAGAAAGAGGCTGTAGGTTTCTTTTCAGTGATGAGTAACTTTAAAACTCCTTAGAAGGTCTTGTGGGTCAGCATTAATATGAGTAAAATAGCCAGGGTGTATTTTTACAAGCACTGCTTTTCAGCTGATAACGCTATAAACTATAAGGGATTGGGAGTATTTTTTACAGTTAACAGAGGTAATTATTTCCATGCTTTTTAATGCTTATGCTTTTACTTCTACAAAGGCGACAATTCTTTTTATATATTTTTGAACACAGATGATATTAAACATTAGAGCCTGTTAAATACATTTTATCATTTTTTGTATGACGTTAGACATAGCTGTAAAGGTTGAAGACAGGGTTGTTATTAAATATTAATTATAATACAAAATTATTTGAACAATAGTTTATGGACTTGTACATAAAATTTATGCATGTTTAGCTTCAAAATACTTTGAAATTGACAAAAATCACATCTGAAAATTAAGCTGTAATCTTTCTGATAGCTTCATTATTAAGGGTAACATAAACTTTTGTGTTCAAAAGTTAACTGACAGATTTTTTAATGAGGCTGGGGCAGAAGGAAGTCCAGAGGGATGTTGTCCCTGTGTCCTGCTGACATCTGAAAAATCTACGAGGAGGGAGAGGCAGCTGCTCATGCCTCATGGTATGGAGCCAATCCCAGGTGCCTGCCAAGTGTTTTGATATCTGTAGGTTGAAAGAACTATATTGGGGTAAGTTATTTTTACTATTACAAGAAACTTTCATGAGTGTAAGGACTTTTATACTGTTTCCTACAGTAGTTTTCTTGCATATTGATTCCAATCCATTAAATATTCTTTCTTTTCTCTTTTTAATATGGTAGTTCTGCAACATGCACTAATTTATACAGTGGTCTCTAACAGGTGTCCCAGTAGATTTCACTCACAGCTGTTCTACAAACCAAATGCATGGAATATAAATCTTCCTTTCCTCACATGAGCATTAGCAAGCCAGGCTCTTAGCACAATCTGTTCATCAGTATACTAGTTTCCTTGGAACATTCAATATCTTAGCTAATGTTTATTAATTAAGCAATAAGACACAACAGACTGTGCAGCAGCCCTAATTAATGGACACCTCTGGTGCATGCCACACATCTAAGAAGTGCATTAATCAGCTCCAACACAGGTTGGAAGTGACTTACCACAATAATAAAATGGTTATTTACTTAAATAAGAACATTCCTCAAAGTTAGTAACAGTTTTAAACCTCTACATTATACTGTACTCAAAATTTTACGAGAGGAGTTTTCAAATTCAAGTGCCTAAAGTTCAGCTTCCAAATCCCTGCTTAGGAATACAAATAGAGGACACTAGATTTGCAGAGGTGTTGAGTCTCTGTGTCTAGCACTGACCCAGTGGTTACTTGTGAACAGTTGTAGTCTCAGACTGGGTTTATTGAGGTGGCAGGTATTAATCTGACACTTCACATCAGCTTGGACTCTGTGTTACCTGTGCTGGCTCCTCGTGGTTCAATTGCTGTAACTGAGAGGTAAGTCAGAGAATCATGGAATTGTAGAATTGACAAGAGACCCTTTGTAGTCTTAGCTCAGCCCTACTCTTCATCTGACTGAAGATGTGTTCACATGACACACAGGCACAGCATCAGACAGCATTGAACTTGCCTTTCCTGGCATTGCTTCCCTTCGGGTAGGGGTGGGCATACCATTGGTTTCTATGTTATGAATGTAAGAAATTAACATTTAACTGGAAGCCACTCAAAACATCACTTAGGTATGGTCTAAAAAAGTGAATTGATTTCCTAAAGTTGTTTAATTAGAAAATCAATTTGTAAGATGGAATGTGGAAAAATAGATCTGGCTCTGTGGGCTTTACACTAGGAAAACTTCTA